CCTGTGCGAGACCTGCTTTCAGGCAGTAATTCCTGTTCCTTCACTCGAGATGACCCCTACAAGAATAATGATGAATCCCCCCCCCCCCCCCCCCCCCCCAATAAAGTCACATGTGCACCTAACTTCCTGGTCACACCCCTGGGTATGGTACCTTTTATATCACACACTGGAAGTAAAACAAGCTTTGTTTATGCAGAAGGAAGTGTCTCATGTTGATAAGACACACTGACATTGTTTAAAATACTAGACTGGATCTTAAATTCAGTTAATAATACATATAATTTCTCTCAAACCTTTCTGTGTTTTCTGAAATTTTAGTTATGCGATTATTTTTGTAAGATGACGATTTATAAAAGTAACTGCCAATTTATGATTTTTGAAGTCAGTTGACTAATGCAGCCATCATAAATCAAATTTAGTAGTTGTAGATGATCACTTTCTGCAATAATTACTTTCTGCAATAATTACAAATCATCCATTGGGTCATTAAATATTTTGTTAACAAAACCAAAGCACATCACAGATCCAGGCGAAAACATCATGACCCCCCTTCTGCCTTTGGCAGCAGGTAATAAATAAACATGTCTCAGCTGCAGCTGGGCCGCATGACGTTACGGTGCTTAAATCCTTCATCCCCTTCTTGCTTCATCTAATCACTTAGTTTATTAAAGTCACCTGTAATAAATCATTTTCTTGCCTAGGGATCTATAGCTAGTCCTTCTTGTCATCACTACACATTTGCATCGTATAACACGAATGACTGAGAGTGCTCTGACAGTTTTGGTGGCTTAAGTCTTGTTCAAGTGTTTAACACTAAAACATTGTCACGACACATTCATTTGCTCACTCATTTACAGTTTTTCAGTTGGCAGACAGAAAGATGCCCATTTCTGGATGAGTTCTCCATTTTTTTTATGAGAAAACTGTCAGATTTCTAAGTTCTTCCAAGCTTCCATCCACAGCTCCCTGGGCTGTTTACTTTTGGATTAACGATTGTGAAGCTTCTGCATAATTTAAAGATGTTTTTTTTTTTCAAGTGGAAGATTCACA